ACCAGGCGCAGAGAAATGTTCAATGAAACAGGCTTTGAGTTGTTCACACGTGCAGAGGATGGACTTGTTCGTCCCTAGCTTCGAATCCTGGATGACCTCTATCAACGAAGGCAGTCCAGTTCTCAGTGAGCTCGCGTTTGGCCTGGCGGCAGTGTACACGCTGCGCATGAAGGACTTTAGACACTGGCGCTTGTCGAAAAGCTCTGAACCAGTGATGCAATGAGAGTGTGGTCTTGGAGGTAGACCATTCGTTTGGACAGGGCGTCACTGCAACTGGCAACTGGCCTGGCGAACGCAAAGTCAATCCGGGATTTACGTGGCACAAGTCATGGACGTTTACGTCTACGAACGATGTCAGCAAAGACAGTGACATCAGGCGCTTCGGATCCCGCACTGGAGTGAAAGACATCTGTCATAACACAGCGCGGAAAGGCGAGTGTGCACAAGTCTGCCTGCAATCACGCATCGACTGGCTATATGTGAACCCTCTATGAACTGCTTACGCATTATCAGGAAAATGCCAGCGCTACGGTTCTACTCTTTATATCGTGGCGCCAATGAGTTTCGCTTTCGCCTACGCACGCAACCTGAAACTGAATGTCAGCAGGGTGGTCCGTGAACCTCGACACGCAGATTTCAAGACAGGCACAGCACTTTGCGAACCTCGAAGTGCAGATTTCGCGGCAGGCGCAGCACTTTGTGAACCTCGAAGCGCAAATTTCGTGGCAGGCGCACCACCTTGTGAACCTCGATTTCGAAGCAGGCGCAGCCCGTTGTGCTCTCAGATGCTCACCTCTCGCTCTCACTCACACTCACACGCACACACGCTCACACTCTCACTCACACCCACTCTCACTCTCACTCACACTCGCACTCACACTCACACTCACTCTCACCGCACTCACACTCACACTCACTCACTCTCCCACTCTCACTCACACTCACACTCACACTCCCTCACACTCTCACTCTCACCCACACTCACTCTCACCCACACTCACTCTCACTCTCACTCTCACACTCACACTCACACTCACTCGCCACCACCGCCACAGTCACCACGATCCCCACCTTTATCACCACCATCACCTCTCTGGACCCCAACGCGTCTAGATCTCTAGACTTTCTGCTTAGAGACCTCACACACACACACTGTTTGGGGTCTCTTGCCGGTATAATTTTACATACATATACAGTATACACGTCTTTCCTCTCCTGCGGTAGTTCCCCAACCCTGCACTAAACTGGGGACCAATGCCACGACACGTCAGAACTTTTCATTCACGGTGCTGTCTTGAAACTATACGCCCCCGGCCTTCCCATGCTCTCTTCCTGCCACAAGCTCTTTTTGCTCTGTTGATGCGCAAGCCGAACTGCAGAGTTCATCTCCTCCGTGAACGTGTCTAGCTGGAGGGCACAACCTCATCTCAACCTGTTCCTGTCGAACAAAAGCACACGTCTTTTGCAAACTTGCCCGGCCCAAGCACAACACATCAAACAATCCAAGTTTACATTGAAAAATGCTTCAAAAAGGTTGATGGAACTTTCATAAACCAAGGCTTCCCAGGTACAACTTGTTGACACAACGCCAGCGATGACTGAGATTGAAAAAGTTCCCCGGACACAGCAGCAAGGAACTGAAACAGGAAGGACTCCAAACTCTCTGAGTTGTGTGTGTGTGAATCCGTTGATTTAGTGTCTTCGCTTGCGTGTTCTTTCTTGCCAATTTGCAGGGGGCTCTCGGAGCCTGCGTGAGATGAGAGCCAACAAAGACGCTCACGCAGCGCTTGTGAAAATGTACCTGCTATTGACCGCACCTGGGCATCTAACTGCAGCTGGTGGGTCCTATGTTGTTGGCCCCTGCTTTAGCTAGAGCAAGAACTTCAGCCCTTGCACCTTTTTTTGCACACTGCAGATGCGCTCGGTCGCCGTCATCCTGTCATTCCCGCCCGCTTTTCGAGCTCTTCGAGTCTGGCGGGTGTGATGGGGAGGTTTCTTTGAGGCCTCATGGTCAGAATGCCTTGCTTATACTCACCTTGGTCACCGTGGCATCTTCGGTTTTTTCACTCGGGCTGGGGTGTGGGCAACCCGCAATCGAGTCAGCGTGCAATTTCTTGAGTCTTGAGTGTGTGTCTCTCCTCAGTGAGAGCCCAGGGTGTACCCGGGGAGTGTCCCCTGTGGCCCCGTCGAACGGAGGTTTGTCTATATGTTTCCATTGCTGGGAAACGGAGTAGCTCGTGGCGAGCGTAGGAGGCTTACGCCAAAGTTATTTGCCAAGACTTGATGAACTATTGAATCTGAGCAGGCAGCTTTCGAGCAGGCCATGAGGTGACCATAGCGGTCTTGAGCAGGCAGCCCTCGGGCACGCCATAACGTGGTCGCAGCGACCAAAGCTTTGAAGGTCCATTGGAATCTGTCGCTGCCTTAGGTGCACACACAGCGTGTACATTTCAAACCAGGCTAGGTTTACCTAGGTTGCTCATCGGTCTTTGGCCCCTCCATTTGGTTCCCTTTTCATCTTTTCCCTTCACACGCACGTTCCTTCCTCTTTCTTTTCACGTCTTTCTGGCTTCGTGTTTCGTCATCTCTTCCTTTCTCCCGAAGGCACCTGCGAAGGGTTGCTTCCAAAGGACATCTGCTCACATCATCTTCCAACAAAAACTTTATCATCATCGCTACTGTCACATCATCATCATTATCATCATCATCGTCATCATCATCATCAACGTCATCATCATCATCATCAACATCATCATCGACTTCTTTATAAGTTTCTTTCTACTCCTAAGGCGGCGGGCAGGTCCGGCCGGAGCTCACGAAACATGACCCTCTGCGAGGCACGATCCTGTGGAGCGTTCAAACGTGTGGTGAAACGTCGATCGCGTTTGAGCCGGAGCGACCCTCTGCGGGGATCGTGCGCGTCGAGTGCTCAAACGTGTGGTGAAATGCGAATTTGATTTGTGCGCGGGTGACCCTCTGCGAGGATCGTGCGTGTCGAGCGCTCAAACGTGTGGTGAAACGTCGATCGTGTTTGACCTGGAGCGACCTCTGCGGGGATCGCGCGCGTCGAGCGCTCAAACGTGTGGCGAAATGCGAATTTTGAGTGGGCACGGGTGAAACTCTGCGAGGATCGTGCGCGTCGAGCGCTCAAACGTGTGGCGAAATGCGAATTTGGTTTGTGCGCGGGTGACCCTCTGCGAGGATCGCGCGCGTCGAGTGCTCAAACGTGTGGTGAAACGTCGAGCGCTTCACTTTTGGAGGAAGTGTTGTATGAAACGCTTGTTTTGGAGACTTGGAGGAATTCTCGTACAAAACGCTCGTTTTGGAGACTTTGGCGCTTTGCTTTTGGAGGACGTCTCGTACGAACGCTCGTTTTGGAGACTTGGCGCTTCACTTTAAGGAGGAAATCTCGTACGAAACGCTCGTTTTGGAGACTTGGCGCTTCACTGTTGGAGGAAGTCTCGTACGAAACGCTCGTTTTGGGGGCTTGGCGCTTCACTTTTGGAGGAAATCTCGTACGAAACGACTTGTTTTGGGGACTTGGCGCTTCACTTTTGGAGCTGGACTCAGAAGTGGCCAGTTTGTAGTACAAATGTAGTGCGGGAAAGAGCTTTTCGGAGCTGGGCTCAAACGTGGCCAGTTTGCAGTACAAATGTAGCGTGGGAACGGTTCATCCCTCAGTTTCGTTTTCGTTTGGAACCCTTTCGTTATAACGCTTACTCCTACTATGCTTTCGGGCCACCCTGTCGTCTAGTTCTCTTCTGCTGCGCACACTGGTCCGATCCTTAGCGTGTACATGCACCCGTACACGAAGCCCAGGCCTGATCCCGGTTCACTTGGTTCCTTTTGTCTTTTTGCGCACGCACCCGCACACTGGCCTAAACCTTAGTTTGCCACGCCTCCCTTTTGTGGGAGGCGTGTGTGTGTGTAACCCTTGGAATCACAGGGATCCTTTCGGATTGCTCTCGCTTTTGGTGTTTTGAGCCTTTTAGCAGGGGAACTGGGCACTCTGTGACTGACCCAGTTCAACGAAGCTAGGTCACAGAGTGGGATATTCGGACTGATCATCCGAACGTACCTGCAATTTTCCAATTTGTCTGAATGGCGTCAGGCTAAGCCAAGAACCTCAAGACATGATTCCTATTTAGCCGCAGACTTGCACGCCACGACGTCATCTCGTCGGCTCGCCGCTCGTCTTCTTCCTTTTGGGCCCTACTTCCTTTTGAAGACCTCCAGGATCCAGTGGTTCGTACGTGTATCCTTAGGAATTGTGGAACCCTAGGCCGGCGTGTGGCACCGCTTTCAGTTCAGTATGCATATCCATAAGTGTGTTTGGCCACGCGCCAACCCGGGATGAGCCCGCAGAGTGCCTCCCGTGGACCCGTTGAACGGGGGTTTGTCGAACGTATCCACTGCCCGGATACAGAGCAGCTCGCAGCGAGCGTAGGTGGCCTAGGCCGTACGTACGATGATTTTTGTCTCATCTTTGGAATTCCAAGTTGGCTCATGCCTCTACGTGACCGCAGCGGTCAAAGCAGCCAGCCATTTCGGCAGGGCACAAGGTGACCACAGCGGTCAAAGCAAGTTTAAGGTTCATTGGAACCTGTGGAGAACTTAGCCCCCTTCTCCCCCTTCCCTCCCCCGTTCTTTCTTTGCTTTCTGAGGGTTTTCCTGAATGTAATACTCAGGGTCACCCCTCAATTTCTTGGACGATTGTTCGTAGCTGGGAGCACCTTCCTTTCCTCTCCCTTTCTCTCCCTCTCTCTTTCTTTCCTTCTCTTTTTCCTCTCTTCACCCTCTTCCCTGGGTGTTCTTGGATGCTTCGTCATAGCTGGGAGCCCTTCCTTTTTGGTGTGTCCCTGGACGCATGCGTCGTAGCTGGGAGCACCTTTGTTTCCTTCTTTCTTTCCCTCTCTTTTCTTCCTCCCCCTGCCCCCTCTTTCCTCGCGCGCGGCGTGTTTACAAGCAAACTAGGCTTCTGCAACAGGTTTTTCTAATGAGGTTTGGTTTGTCATCGGTTTGTCCCCGTTCATTTGGTTCCCCTTTCATCGGCCCCCACAGACGTTTTTTTCCTCTTTTCTTTCATGTCTTTCTGTCTTCATGTCTCTTCATCCTCATCCTTTCTTTCTCTTGCGCGCACTATCGTCCGGACCTTAGTTTGTACACATACACGCACGCGTACTCTACTTACAGCGAGGTTCAGGTGGCCCAGGTTCGTTACAATGAGGTTTGGCTCATCGGTTGTCCCTTTTCACTTGGTTCCTTTTCATCGGCAACCATACACACCTTTGTCTGTCTTGTCCTTCTCGTTTTCATCTGTCCCTTTTGCGTGCACATGTGCCTACCTCCTTTCCGGGCAGGATGGAGGTCACACACGCCTCCCCTCGGGGAGGCGTGTGTGTGTGTAACCCTTCGAATCACAGGGATCCTTTCGGATTGCTCTCGCTTTTGGTGTTTTGAGCCTTTTAGCAGGGGAACTGGGCACTCTGTGACTGACCCAGTTCAACGAAGCTAGGTCACAGAGTGGGATATTCGGACTGATCATCCGAACGTACCTGCAATTTTCCAATTTGTCTGAATGGCGTGAGGCTAAGCCAAGAACCTCAAGACATGATTCCTAAGTAGCTGCAGACTTGCACGCCACGACGTCATCTCGTCGGCTCGCCGCTCGTCTTCTTCCTTTTGGGCCCTACTTCCTTTTGAAGACCTCCAGGATCCAGCGGTTCGTACGTGTATCCTTAGGAATTGGAACCCTAGGCCGGCGTGTGGCACCGCTTTCAGTTCAGTATGCATATCCATAAGTGTGTGAACCCCTTGGAGTGACAGGGAATGCGTTGATCTAGCCTCTTCGTTTTCGTGTTCTTTCTTGCCAAATAGCAGGGGCTCTTGGAGCCTGCGTGAGACGAGAGCCAACAAACACGCTCACGCAGCGCTATCCTGTCGTTCCCGCCGGCATTTCGAGCGCTTCGAGTTTGGTGGATTTCATGGAAGTTTCTTTGAGGCCTCATGGTCCGAACGCCTTACTTATACTCACCTTGGTGTCTTAGGTTGTTCGCTCAGGCTGGCGTGTGGCAAACCGCAATCGAGTCAGCGCGCAATTTCTTGAGTGTTTGAGCTCAGAGTGCTCAGTCGCGCGCTTAGCCCGGCCCACCTCTAGAAGCTATTCTACGCAAAAAAACGGTTAAATCAGTTCAGTCCTATAAGGGAAACAATACGCATATGAATATATATATATACAGCAGCGGCACAGCAGCTGCTGCACACAGCAGCAGCAAACCAAAACGGAGAGAAGCAAGAACCCCCACAAAACTATAGCTATCGCTATCTGGGGAAAAAAGGTTTCTACACTTGCCTAGCGAACATAATCACCATAATCACAATAGGTTCTAGCAATATTGCTAACCTTCTTGCACAGTTGTTTTTCCA